AGAGGGCACAGAAGGAGGCGGGAGACACAGGTCTGTGAATGGGCATCCGGGGATCAGTCTCCTTGCTCCTTACAAGGGTCCTATTCTGGGGGACACAGATGACCCTGTCCCCAAAGCATGACACTATCACTCTGCCTTGTAGAACACACATCCAGTTTTGCTAGAAGCTCCAGGTTGTTTTTTTTAAATTTGTAATTAAATCACTTTAATAGTTGTAAAATAAATGTATTTATTTAAAATGATAACTGTGATCTAAACCAGATAGGATTAGAAGGATGAGGTAGGTCATGGATTCTGAAAACATTCCGCTCAGGGGCATCTTTTTCCATTTGTTTTGTTCATGTTTTTATTATTATTTTAATTGATATGTAATAATTGTACACATTTATGGGTACAGAGTAATATTTTGGTACATGTATACCATGTGTAATCAAGTCAGAGTAATGAGCACACCCATCACCTCAAACACAAAGTGATCATTCTTTGTGTCGAAAACAAAATCCAAGTGTAATGAAATCTAAGAAAGGAAAGAAGAATATTCAGTGTCTTCACAGGCAGGCTGGTGGATACCAGGCCGGAGTTCCTGATTTGCATCTGGGCACCGGGACAGCCACTCTGTTATTCTGCCACTCTGCAACATCTCGGTGGATGCTACTCACAGCCACCGTGAGCACCCAGACTGCGGAGGACTTCGCAAAATGCCAGGCACACAGAAAGAGTTCAGTAAAGAGGAGCGATCAGTAAACAGTGCTGAGATCAGAAACTGCCCTGGCGGAGACCCCTGCAGAGGTTCGTGGAGGCGGCAGAGGGTGCCGAGCTCTCCCCGCTGGAGGAGGGTCCGCTCCTCAAGGGAGACTCTGAGGCCCGGAAAGTCAGGCCACCAGTGCCACCCGCAGACCCCACGCCCAGACACTTTGGTGCCGGGCAGTGGCCGGCGGGGCCCTCGGCCACTGCAACTGTGGGCTCTGGCGCCAGGCGCTGACAGCTGCCGCTGTCGCCGCTCTGCCGCGCCCTTGCCCGGACTGGGCTCCCCGGGTGTCCAGAGGCACGGGCACTGCCAGGCCTGCAGAGGTGTCTCGGAAGCCTGCAAGTGGGGACCCCGCCTGAGAAGCCGCAGGGACGATCTGCAGTGCACATTCCGTGCTTCTAGTCTACACGGTTTGCAGAGGCAGGGTCTT